CGGCAGAGGCTATTCGAGATGCTTCATCGCATGGGAGCACTTTGAGAGGTACAAAGGAAAAGGTGACCAGCCGCAACCCTAGACACCCATCCCCGACCATACTAAGGCTTTCGAAGGCTTTGTGTGTGTTGTATGGAAGATATTTGATTGGCTTCCCCTCTCATAAAAACTGTAGCACTATGTATTCAATAAAGGGAAGTAAAAACGAGAAAGCAACCTGGAAATCACCCATAGGACATCAAATGTAAGCATAACAACATGTTCTTTGTAGCTGGCGGACCAGTTGCTTGCTGTCAGTATGCCCCAGTGACTGCATTTATAGGGTTGTTTCTGGCTTAACTAAAGGACTAGGGGGATTTAATTCATGAAAACATGCCTTTACGAGTGATATATGTCCGAATCGGCCCCATGAGCTGTCAGCGTTTCAAAGCCCAATCGAACAATAAAAGGTTACATCATCCCTTAAAGACTTATTGACTGCATTTTTAGTTACCTGCTCTCATGCATTTTGGGTTAAAGTAAAATCGGACTTTTTTCTCTATTACTGACCATCTTGTGAATTGGATCTCACATGAAATTTGATCCGTTTCACAGCCTTCCCTACCCACCTCCCACTTCCGTTTGGGTTTCACTTTACTTTTTGTTTCTTTTTTTTCTCTTCAGGACATGGAACTGAAATCATGTATCGAGACCAGTCGTAAGATGGAGGTGCGTTACGGTCATTGGTTTGATAAAGTGATCATTCCGGAGACACTAGACATCACGGTTACTGAATTGCGTACAATCGCAACCCGACTGGAACGCGAACCTTCATGGGTTCCCCGCCACTGGTTGTACTGATCGGTGTACTTACTCATCCTGAACACATTTTCTTAGCTCTCTCTCACTCTTTATTGTGGTGCTCAAATGCGTGCTTACCTCGCCCAGTCGCCACCGCCTATGCCTATCTGTCTGATTTTATTTGATCAAAAATGAAGTCCGAAGCCTTCCGAAAAATGATACATCCCTCTCTTACCGAAACAAGGATGACTGTCAATGTTATTGTCTGTTTATGTTGAACGATATCTTTCTATTGGCTGTGATTCCCGTATTCTGTTCGAACGGGACCAAGGTTAGGTGGACTGCATAGCTTCTCATCTCAATTTGCCGCCTACATACTGGTTGTATTCACATTCCGAGTCATATATTATTCTGCAAGATTGATCTCTAAACGCCCCCCCCCCCGTCCCGTCCCGCTGGAAACATATCAATGACACTGTGGCTT